TTTTCGCCTTTCAGCAAACATAGTATTGCCTGCATATCTCAAACTGTTAGCATTTCACTGCCTTATTTTGATTCCAGAAAACTTTTCTTCAGTTCTACTTTTTGTAAACAAAAAACTCACTAAGCAAATATGAGAACAACGTATTTGTTGAAGAGAGAGAGAGAGAGAGAGAGAATGGAGTGATATAAAGGCCTCTTTATGTCATTTCAGTCTCTCTCTCTCTCTCTCTCTTTGAAAATTAGTTTGTGTAGTAAAATTGTTGTAAGAACCAGCGATGAAATATGAGGGAGGGAGGGAGGGAAAGGGGGAAGGAAGGAAGGAGGGAGGGAGGGAGGGAGGGAGGGAGGGAGGGAGGAAGGAAGGAGGTCCCAAGTACCTTTTGTACAATAGTCAATATATGCTATGATCTTCAAGAAGTGGTACATGGTGCATACATTCTTTGGCCAGCCTGTAGTTCAACACCCCCCTATCTTTTGTGTGCCAGGGACTGGTTCTGTGGAGGACAGTCTGTCCGTGGATTGGGGAAGGTGTAGTTTTGTTCACTGCGAGGATGGGGCATCACTCACTTGTGTGACACAGTTCCTGGCAGGTCGCAGACAACATGTAATTGACAGCAATCACATTAATATTCTTTTTTTTAAAGTGTTCTCCAATAATTAATTGGAATGGAAATGGTTAAAAAGGGTTAATGAATATAAAATTGTGTTATTGTTTCTTTTTATGCATAGAGATACTTGTCATTATTTCTTTTCTTCCTTGCCATACCGAATTTCCCATGGCTAATATTACACTTCTTCAGAGTTCTCTGCATGAAAGCAGTGGTCCAAGTTGTATTACTATATGAAGAAAATCAATGCATCTGTGTTTAGTAGTTCAAAGGTGTGTCAAAAATGCTGAGCACTTAATTTGCTCCTAATCATTTCAGACTGTTTGCTCAGCTGGTCAATTTAGACAGAGAAGGAGCAGTGAAGAGAGAAGTAAATTACTTGGACCCTTATGTGCAATGATTATGTGCTTTTTTGGAAAGACCCCCTGAGGACCTGAAAAACTCAGGAAGCCTCTGTTTATAAAGGAACATCAGAAAAATCAATGTCTGCCAGAAAATGTGTAGACAACTACTTTTCTGACTCTAAAGAGTCAGATAACTGTTTTCTTAACATTTATAAAAAAAAGTTTTAAAAATACAAATTTAAAGTTAAATCATTTCGAGGACTTAAACATCTCCATTTGCATTTTGGGTGGATTCCCTTACAGACTGTTTGAGGTTTTGAATTTGAGTTGAATTCAGGTGATATAAATATATGAAAACATTTGGGTGGCTACTGCAGATTGTAGGTAGGCAGGCAGGCAGGCAGGTAGGCAACCAAGCAGGTAGATGATAGATAGATAGATAGACAGACAGACAGACAGATAGATTTCTACCGGTTCACCCCAGTTTGGGCGAACCGGTAGTGGCGGTGACGGGAGGCTCCACCCTTCCGCTCAGATGTCATCATGGATGCTCTGCACATGACAGAAGGTTCTACACATGCGCAGAAGCACTGTGCGCGCACACTCACAGTTCCAAACCGGTAGCAAAGGTAAGTGGAACCCACTACTAGATAGATAGATAGATAGATAGATAGATAGATAGATAGATAGATAGACAGATAGATGTGAGAGAGAAAGAGAGAGAGAGAGAGAGATGATAGACAGGCAGGCAGGCAGACAGACAGACAGACAGACAGACAGATATAGAATTATTAAATCTATTGGCAGCTTGTTTCAGTTGTTAAGCGGACATAAAAGCTGATAATGGAATAACGGATCAGTGACTAAGGAACCAAAGAAAGGAGTGTATGCAAGAACAGGCCAAGGTTGAAGACTTGAAGACATGAGGTGACCATATCAAAATAGTAGTCTTGATGAAGGGTTTCTCAGATAGAGGGAATCAGCCCATGCCCAAACCAAGTTGGACATGAATTACTTTATTAGAATATAACAGAGCTGGAAGAGACATTGGAGGTCTTTTAGTCCAACCCCCTGCTCAAGCAGGAGACCCTATACCATTTCAGACAAGTGGTTATCTAGTCTCTTCTTAAAAACCTCCAGTGATGAAGCAACCATATTTTTTGAAGGTAAGCTGTTCCACTGGTTAAAAAGTTTCTCCTCAATTCCAAGTTGCTTCTCTCCTTGATTAGTTTCCATCCATTGAATTATTTGAATTGAATAATCTATTCAATTACTGATTTGTCTGAAAAGGAATGCCATCATTGGCAGACATGTATTACAAAATATTACAAAAACAAGTGAGGCAGTAGATATTGGGACTTATCTGCTGCATTCTCCAGTTTAAAACACCAAATTTTGTGGCCATATAGAATAATATATCTATATTAGAAGGACAACCAGAAGGCTTTCCAAGTCACCCCAAATCCAGACAAAATTAGAGAAGTGAGCTGCCATAGTATGAACATGTGGTCAGAGCTGATGTGGAATCCATTGGGAGGTGGGCACTTGCACTCAGCCCAGATGGCCAGCAGCCCCGAGGACAATCAAAAAAGTGATGGATGAAGACATGCAAGCCATGGGCATGTGCCCCTGCCAATGCTGCAGACTGGACAAAGTGGTGGGCAAAATGCAAAACTGTGGACCCCATGATACAGAGATGATAACTTAAAGAACAAGAAGATTAGAGGGCTCATAGATAAAGATCAGAGTTTTAAAGAGAGGGGGTAGATTCAGGCAAGGATGCTTTCATTTCCAACCCATCATGACACCATGGACAACGTTTCTCCAGGTTTTCCTGTCCTCTACCATCCTCTGGAACCCATTTAAGCTCACGCCTACTGCTTCAGTGACTCCATCCAGCCACCTCGTTCTCTGTTGTCCCGTTCTTCTTTTGCCCTCAATCGTTCCCAGCATTTGGCTCTTCTCCAGTGAGTCCTTCCTTCTCATTAGGTGGCCAAAGTATTTGAGTTTCATCATCTTTCACTTTTACAAGTGACTATTACAAACTAACCAATGCCAATCAATGGGATGGAGAGGACAGGAGGAAAAGAAAACTGAGTTTCAAACAACATCTTAGTCTGAGACATTTGTTAGAGTTGTTTTAACTTTAATATAATCACATTATACCTGCTGTTTTTGTTATTTAATTGTCTTGTCCTATGTATCTATACAGTAGTTTGTATATGTGTTTGTCTCTACCAAGATAACTCTGTGGATGTGTAGCCATCAGCAATGGACAGTTCATTGAGAGGGTCATCTGGCATTGCCAAAGCAAATCACTACTAAACAAAGGAAGGGAAACTCCATGGCATACATTTTTTCAGTAAATGAGATTTTTTGTTGCAATGAACAACAAAAGAAGTTTTGAATATCCCTATCTAATATTTTTTCTTCTGATTACATTAATTATACCAATGGAGTATTTCTTCCTCCCCCCCATTATTATCTACTAATTTATGTGAACCTTATGTAGGCTACAGGTAAATTCTTGTTCCTTTTCAACTATTCAGAAAGGTATTTGATTCTTTAGCTCCCAACTAAAATTTTTAATATGGGCTGTATCACCCCAGTCGTGAGAATAGTTTTCATAATTTAAGCAGGCCATTCTAATATCTCTGGTGTCTTTCAACCAATGATTACATTTGGAATTTTGAGATCATGTGATAGCCATTCTTGTTGGATACTTAATCACCATCCAACAAATTGTTTGGTAGTAACCCCTCCATCACTCTGCCGTAGCCATAATTTATTTTAGTTTAATAAAACCTAAAGGAAGCTAGCAGAATAGAATGACTTCCACAGGGCTTCTTTCATGAAATGTAGGGAATCTACAGCTTAAGTAATAAACATTACAGGCCACAAAGATGTCAAAAGGAGGACCTGTTCATCGTGATACAGTTGCGCGAATGGCGCAATTATGTAATTTGCATCAGTTGCATTATGGCATTTAATACAAGTACATAAGTCATATCATTTATACAATATCCATGGTAACGGAAAACAACAGCACTAGCAGTAGTGTTTCTAACCATCAAGTGTGCTTACAAAAACTGCCAAGAAATACGTAAAGGAAATTCTCAAGCAACCCAAGGACCAGGTAGATACGTATATACAAGCCTCTTTCACTAAGGAAGAAAACTTTTGCAAATATGGAGGGGGGAAATGTAGCACTATTCTAAGAAAAATACACTTTGTACAGAAAGGTGTGCTGTTGAGCAACACAAACTACTAAGCAGTCTGATTTGAGTGTCTATGTAGAAAAAGACAAAAAAGAATTGAAGTGATTCTGTTTTTTCCGCAATATCGTTGAATAAACAAAAAGTGGTGTGTGTAGATAGATAGATGACAGACAGACAGACAGACAGACAGGCGGCATATAAAAGATAGTTAATATAGATGATACATGATGATACATGATGAGAAATATAACAATATTTACTCTTATAGTAGATCTAACTGCATTAGCACATACCATCTGCAGCTAAACATACATTCAGTATCTTCTATCTGGATAGCCATTAAATCATAGGATAGCCAGATAGAAACACAAACGTACAGAGAGATACACACACATAATTGGAATTATAGAATTCCATATATGAATATGGAATTTATATATGGAAATAAGGGGCAAATGCATAATCATTTTCTTAATAATTTCCAAACATCAGAACCTGAGCTTTTCCATTTGTGATCACATTTAAGAAAAAGAGGTGTCCATTGACTGATCTTCAAACTCTTTGCATATAGGTCATACATTTTAATATGATCATGTCAATTTATATAGCACGTGTTTATGTCAAAGGAGTTGTCAGCCTACAACTGAGTGGGCCACAATATATTTGAGCAAATCTCATTCTGTAATTTGAATTTAGGAAAATAAGAGGGAAAAGAAACCATTGGGAGCAATGTAATAGCATTAATTCTGAAGGCTGACAGAAAAGATGAATCCAAGGTCTTACAGTAATTTGTACCAAGAATGTAATTCATAAGATAAAAAGAGTATTTACCTTGTCCTGAAGTTTGCTGGTTGAGGATGCCCATCATATAATGATAAATAGTCATATTCTTCTTCTAGAGCAAAAGACTGAAATACTATCTGTATTCTATTTCTTTCTTCTGCAATTATGACCCACGTACAGTTTGCACCATTTGGATATCCATACGGAAAGCCTGGACTTTCTATAGTTCCATTGAGTCCTTTTAAAGTTCCACCACATGTATAAATAAATCCTGCAAAAAAGAAGGAATTATAAACTAGGAGTTATTACAAATACCTCATGGTTTAAAATAAATCTTTAACAGATTCTATGAATTTATTCCGAAGGATATGTAGGAAGTTAGCACCCACCCCTTTCCTGGAAGAGTGAAATATTTTGGGAAATATTAAAAAGGCAGAATATTATATTTCTCTGGATGAGAAATGGAGAAGCATATTTTACAGACAAAGCAGCTCCCACCTTCCTGCCCCCCACCCTTTGTTAATGGACCAGAGGCAGAAACCCAATCCTTTGTCAAAGGACATTTGCAACACAACAGCAACAGAAACTAACACAATGGGCCCCATCTAGCAACCGAAACTCACCACATGTGACCTGGGAATCATGTGACCTGGGAACCACATGTGACCATCAGACAGCAAGGCTAGCTAAGACTCCCACCCCCTGGGAGTCTGACAACCAATCAGGATATTCTTTTGGGGCCCCAAGAAATGCAGAGCCAGAGAGAGCATAAAAACCTGGGGATTTACTGTATCTGCCCTTTTTCTGTTCAGGAACTCAAGCCATGTGATCCTGTCCACCATTAAACCATCTTTCCAAGCAGTCTCCATGTTTCCAGTGTCTTTTTCCCCTCTTGGAGCAGAACCCAGAAGGAGATTTCTTCCAACAGATACATACTTTGGGTAGATGGAAGACCTGTCAGCCCTACTTACCTTAAAATGTGACTTTTCATTGAAACTTCCAAAAACAAACAAGTAGTAAGTTCTAATACAGGTTCAAAAAACTCTTTTAGTGTCCCTCCTGACTTTATGTTAGCACACTACCAACTCATTTTTACTTACAATACCACATATTAAAACAAAAAGGGAAAAAAAACTGTTTGGAAATGAATTCTATTAATCTACTACCACCATAACCATTTCAATAATTTGCTCTCCAGAACTGGCATTTCATGAATGATCAAGTAGCCTACCAACCAATTTTCCAAATATCTAAATTCCCCATCCCAAAACTGCCAACCCTCTATATACTGAATAGAAAAATATTCTCAAGTTGAATTCATAGGGAACTAAACCATGGTGTCATAAAATTCCCCTTTTCTTTTGAAGCTCCAACTTCTCAAATTCTTGAAGTTCTCTATTCACATTTGGAATGGAAAGTGTGGTCCAGGACATGGCTACCTTTATGTTTTATCAGTCTTCACTTCTGCTGAAGAGCATCCCATGCACTTCTCCAACCACAGAGCAGAATGTTATGACCTAGTTGTTAAGCAGAATTTCCAACTGAACAGTGGAGCTTGTAATACTGGATGCAAATAGGTTTTTCAACGTGTTATTATTAAATAGCAAAGCTCCAAACAGTTTGAGACTGGATCGTCAAAGAGTTTTGCCTTGTTCTTTGTATACACTGCAGCGGTTGAGGAAAATACTTCCTCAAGCGCTTGAGATGAAAAAACGATCTTAACATTTCTTTTTTGGGGTGTGATCGGTCTTCATCCTTGCAATTAATCCTTACTGCTATGGTCTATGTCTTCAGTTATAATTTGCAAAACTCTTTTTCTGTGAATCTACCCTGATATATAGCACCTTTTGGACACATTACATGAATAAATTGCCAACGCAGAAATTTCCATTTCCTCTCCTGTTATCTCAAAAGGAATGTGAACAACAATTCACAATACTGAATAACAACAGCAAGTGAAAAAAAAATAGCTGAATACTTAATGTCTTAATTTTTTTTTAAAAAAAAAACACCTATTCTCCTTTCCCTTCTGCTAGAGAACAAAATATTTTGTTGGCTTGTCTGCCATTTACATAGTCAAGATGATACATAGAAAGACAAAAAAAAACTTTCTTTCTGATTTCTTCTTATTTACTGACTCTTCTACCACCATAACTAAAATCATCAATAGGAATATGTTGGAAAAAGCAGGAATGATTGGTGCAGGGATATTGAAAGTGGACATGAACACCAGGAAAAGAATTAAAACTGGAAATTAACTAGGCTTAGATTTAGTACTTAGCCAGTGATCCCTGCTGAACTACAACTTCCTTCCTGGCTACATGGCAGTGGTGGGATTCAAATTTTTTTTACTACCGGTTCTGTGGGTGTGGCTTGGTGGGCATGGCATGGCTTGGTGAGCATGGCTTGGTGGATGTGGCAGGGGAAGGATCAGGGGTGGGTTCTACTTACCTTTACTACCAGTTTGCAATGGGAGTGTGCGCACATGCTTCTGCGCATGTGCAGATCGTCTATTATGACCAGTGGTGGGTTGCTCCTGGTTCTGTCTGATTCTATAGAACCAGTAGTAAAATCGGTGGGAGGCTTCGCCAACCCGGCCAGATGCTTCGCTCATGCGCATGCGCAGCCCCATTGCAAACCGGTAGTAAAGGTAAGTAGAACCCATCCCTGACTCCCACCGCTTTTACTACCAGTTCTATAGAACTGGACAGAACCGGGAACAACCCACCACTGGGAAGGATACTGTAAAATCTCCATTCCCACCCGATTACAGGCGAAGGATACTGTAAAATCTCCATTCCCTCCACATTCCAGGGGAAGGTTACTGCAAAATCTCCATTTCCTTCCGATCAGCTGGAACTCAGGAGGCAGAGAATAGATGGGGGCGTGGCCAGTCAGAGATGGTATTTACCAGTTCTCTGAATTACTCAAAATTTCTGCTACCGGTTCTACAGAACTGGTCAGAACCTGCTGAATACCACCTCTGCTACATGGTCAATGACAAAGGGAACTTCAAATGTTTTCCTCACAAAAGGAGCATTCAGGCTGTTCCATGTTTCATCTATCCAGCAAGACAAATTCCCATCAAGGCTTTATCAAGAAGTTTACAATAAGTCCTTTGTGCGTCTCAAGTCCATAAATCACCTATTTTTGCATAGCTGCAATATGCGACTATTTTAACTGAACACAACAATAAGCAAATTTCATCCAATGGTTTATTTTGTCAGCACTCTTCTCTTTTGCTCTGCAGTGCATGATTCAATATATTATTGGATTAATGCAAATAGCCTTCCTGTAAACCTTTCTCAAATAAGTTTGGTCTGCTTCTGTCAGCTGTTACCAAAATATTTTGGGGGAAGAAGTGTTATTTTCCTTTCTCAGTATCATTCCTTGCCTCATCAACTCTTTTTCTATTTTTAAATCCCATCTGACAAAAACTTCAATTGTTATTTCTTTTTAACTGACTGTTAATTCTGTAGAAGCCATAGGGAGTATGCTTGGTTTGGATATTACTTCTCAGAAGGAAGTTTGAATTGCTAATGAAGATAATCTTAAATTATGTATAAATGCTTTTTTCTCATATCATAAAATGATACAGTTTTTGGAATATGTGAAACCCATGTTGATGAAGCATAGTGCTATTGGTATCCTATTTCTCAAGGTCTTTCAGCTTCAAATCCAGATGATGCATAAAGCTATTGTTTCCATTAGGATTTAGGGAGAGGTTTCCCAAAACCCGGACTAAAGGCATGTCATCTATAAAGTGTCTTCATTCCCCAGAATGGCAATGCTTTGGAGATTCACAGAATTTTTTTTTTTTTTTTTTGGTATATGCAGAAATCATTTAAGAATAATGTTAAACATTCTAACCAGATTAACAGACTAACCAGACTGGAAGGGACTTTGTAGATCATCTAGTCCAACCTCCTGCCCAAGCAGGAGACCCTACACTATTTCTGACAAATGGCAGTCCAATCTCTTCTTGAAAGCCTCCAGTGATGAAGCTCCCACAACTTCCGAAGGCAACTTCTGTTCTCATTGTTCATTGTTCTCATTGTCAGAAAATTTATCCTTATTTCTAGGTTGAATTTCTCCTTGATCAGTTTCCATCCATTATTCCTTGTCTGGCATTTGGGTGCCTTGGAAAATAGCTTGACCCCTTTCTCTCCATGGCAGCCTCTCAAATATTGGAAGACTGCTATCATGTCTCCCCTGGTCCTTCTCTTCACTAGACTAGCCATGCCCAGTTCCTGTAACCATTCTTCATATGTTTTAGTCTCCAGTACCCTAATCATCCTGGTTGCTCTTCTCTGTACTTTTTCTACAGTCTCAACATCTTTTTTTAATAGAGTGGTGACCAAAACTGGATGCAGTACTCTAGGTGTGGTCTTATAAGGCTTTATAGAGTGGTATTAGTACCTCACTTGATCTTGATTGTATCCCTCTGTTAATGCAGTTTAGGATTGCCATTGGCTTTTTTGGCTGCCGCTGCACACTGCTTTAACATGATGCTATTCAGAAGCCTTTTTGCTATTTACTGCTTTTAACATTGTTTGATTTGATATAATTTCCTGTAAGTGTTATGTTTTACTGTGTAATTCTTTTAGAATTTTGCCTGATTTATTTTATTTATTTATTTATTTATTTTTAAAATTTTTATACCGCCCCCTCTCCCGAAGGACTCGGGGCGGTGAACAGCCAAAATTAAAAAACATACAATATAAACATTAAAATACTATAAAAACAAAAATAAATTTATATTGGCTACCCCCAATTTAAAACCCCTTACCCATAAAATTCAGCAATTAAAAGATTGTTAACCCAGCCCGGCTTGCTGAAATAAAAAAGTCTTCAGAGCCCGGCGGAAGGTCCGGAGGTCCGGGATCAGTCGTATCCCTGGGGGTAGCTGATTCCAGAGGGCGGGTGCCCCCACAGAAAGGCTCTTCCCCGGGGGGTCGCCAGCCAACATTGCCTGACTGACGGCACCTTGAGGAGGCCCTCTCTGTGGGAGCATATTGGCCGGTGGGAGGTTATCGGTGGCAGAAGGTGGTCTCGTAAATAACTGGGCCTTAAGCTATGGAGCGCTTTGAAGATGAGAACCAATACCTTGAAGCGCACCCAGAAGACCACTGGAAGCCAATGCAGCTCATGCAGGAGAGGTGTCACGTGGGAGCGCCTTGTCGCCCCCATAAGTACCTGCACAGCTGCATTCTGCACCAGTTGGAGCCTCCGAGTGCTCCTCAAGGGGAGCCCCATGTAGAGAGATTTGCA